TTGCAGTAATCAATTCAACTAAAAATAAACGCATGGATTAGTTTTTCCAGATCATGCTGAGACATTAGTCCTTTAATCCTGGAAATGTTCCTCAGGTGATAGAAAGCCTACCTTGTAATTGTCTTTAAATGCTTTTGGAGGTTCAAGTCTGAATCAAGCACTACACCTAGATTTCGGGCCTAATCAGTGGTTACTAGCTAAAGCGACTGAAGCTTCAACTTCCTGCATTTTCTTTATCTCCTCTCCTGTTTTTTATTCATCCTTCCTGATTCCACTCCCTTCCCATTTGTCTTGTCTTTTGTTTTAATATTATCCCTTCATCATATTTCCTACAATTTAGTAATATACTGTATGTTCTACATTTTCTATTACTTTACATTCTACACTCATCTGTTTTACTTTTTCTTAATAAAAGTAATGTTTTATTTTACCCACTATGATCAAACTTTAGTCGTATCAAAATAGTCTCCTTTCTTTGATTCTTTCTAATCACACCCTTGGCATTAATAGATTTCTGCACACCATAATAATTTCTTCCTCTTTTATCCATGTTCTGTCTATCCTGACATTTTTTCTTTATTTCTATTTTGATTGTTGGCTTAGTTTTGTCATGATGGGTTTCTAGGTTAGCCCACATGCAGAACACCACTCGGAGGCACGGAAAAAAGTTTAACAGTTTATTGTAGGTACGGCACTCAAAGAGACAAAACAAAGGAGGTTCTTAGAGAGACTAAACTGGGTTTTCTCAGCTTGGGGAGGTTCCAGCGGTTTGGTGAACCGGAAGCTGAAGCTCTAGGAGGCGATCAGAGTGGTGAGTTCAAGGACTGTGGAGATACTGGCCGAATTTTAGAATTCAAGGTTTGACTTTGACTCACTGTGTGGAGGCTTGCTCTGTAGAAGGTGTTGTTCATTGGAGGGCAGACCGGCAGACTATAGTGGTCCTGAGGAGCGGCTGAGCAGACTGTCACAATGTTCCTGAAGTGAACGGCGTTCAGATGAGGAGATCTGTCTCCCTTTCTCAGTGTGACGAGAGAGTCCCTTACTGGACTAGAAGGGTCTGGATCTGTGGATCTGTGATATCCTGCCGGAGATATCCTGCCGGTTAGCGCTTGGAGCTCAGAAGAAGCAAAAAACTCAAACAATGACTCTGCAAACTCTGAGGGGCTAGAGTACCCAATACTTGTAAACACTCTGGCAAGGAAGTGAAGACAGTCTGCTGCCTAAATACTCCTCAGGAAGTGATCACCCAATACGCTGCAGGTGTGAGAGGTTGAGAAGAACATGAAGCCCTCCGGACCAGCAGAGAACAATGGCACCATCTGGTGGATGCACGGAGGAACTGAAAAAAAAAAAAAACAACCCCCACAAACTGGAACCCTAGAAAGTTTCCCCTTTCCCATAAGGTAAGTTTATAATATAATTTCTTCTAACTGACTATTTAGCTATTTGATCTTCTCTTTCATTTCCATTTTTTCCTACATGGGCCGGAATCCAATAAAATGTTACATTAATATAAAGTTTTTGTGTTCTTAACAAACTTTGATGAATTTTAAATAACAGATCTTCTCTCTCTGATTTTATATTTTGGATACTGTGAAGGGCTGCCAAAGAATCACCACCATAAACTACTCTATC